ATAGTAGTATAGTGTATTGTGTTATCGGTTATTAATACTATGATTTATATTATTATATATAGTATTACTGTTGTTGTATATTTATGTTTTGATTGTGTTATAATACTAGTATAGATGAGTTTGTTGGTTAGTGTAGATATGGTTCTTATTGGGGTAGAGTTATGGGTGCTGTGGTGTTACATGTTTCTATGGTGTTATTTTATTTATATATTTTCTGTTTTTGTATAGTTTTTTGAGAATTAGTGTGTGGCACATAGCATCAACGTATGCCTGAAGTGTTCGAGCACATACAGTTGAGTCTTCATTTGTGTTGGTATTAGTGTTTTATACTGTTACTTTTTAGAGAAGAGATAATTGTGTTCATATTTTGCGTTTACTATGAGATTGTTGTATTGCTTGAAGTGGTGTGTGCAGCAGATGTCATGACTGGAGGTGGGTGTGTGGGTGGTGACCTGCTATGTCTACGAGTGAGCTCTGGAGAATAGTCGAGTACAAGAGGAGAGAACATGTTCTGGAGGATTAGTGCTATCCAAGAGATATTTTAAGGGCGAGTGCCATAGGATCTCTAGTGGAGAGGAGATTATGGATGGATTATATATAAGATAATGGGGCTGTGGCGGATGTAGGTTTTATCGAAAGTTGTGGTTATGAGTTGAGGCATGCACTCACGTGAGGGTTGAGTGTTGGTGTATATAATTATTCTTAATACTCTAATCCTTATTCTGTAATGGGTGGATATGATCTTTATGTTATTATGTGTTTTTATACTGATATTGTGGATTATTGTGCTAGATAGGCTTGAGGTGAGATGGTCCTTAAAGAGATTGTATACTGTGTTTATGTGTTTATTTGTTTTTTTTTTGGCTATTTGTGTGATTTTAGGGTGCATGTAGTATCTGTGTTAGCAAGTATACCATACGAGTGCGAGTAAATGAAGGTCGAGTTGTTAAAGAGTTATATTAAATATTGAAGTGAGTGGTGATCGGTTAGGTAAGGTATTGAATTATCGAGATGGGAATTTGATTTGTAAAAAAGAAATAAAAGAATGAGAGTATGAAATACTCTAAAGCTGCGGTTTGGTTAGCGTTCTGGAGGAGGTTGTAGTTGGTGTATTATGTTGTGTTTTTAGGTAGTGGGTCGTTCTGTTTTATGTTTTATACTGTGTTAGATATTGAGTTATGTGAATTTCTGGTAGTGGGGAGGGTATAGACGAGGCAGAAACTGATTTATTGAGAATATATGTATTTTGTTCCTGAGTATGTAGCCTTCAGCAGCTTTCATTGCAATATAATTGATGCGAGAATAAGAGGAGTAAGCTATCTCAGCGTTTTTCCGGTGTATCGTTTTTTATATTCTGGTTACTGACGAGGCTACATGATTTCAAGAGGGGGTGGTGAATCATGGATGGTTGATTATTGTTAGGTGGAGTGGGTTTGTGAGAGGAGGAGATTGTGTGATAAGCCGTCAATTGATCCTCTGTGATTTTAGTTAGGATTGGAGATGTTTTGTTGTTTCATTTACTATAATCGGACCGCAGGTAGGGAAGATTGATATGTGTCCTGGCGCAGCACATTTATGTTATTTCTGTGTATATTTGGTTGTGCGGTAGGGCATTATATAGTAAACAAAGCAAAAGAAATGAAGGAATGGCCATGCGTTGGTTTTGTTGTTCTTCTTGGCTGGCCAGGTATTGTTGGATAGGATTATTATCTGTGAGGAGGTATAAGGCCTGCGGTGTGTGCTTCACTTCAGTGGGACGTGTATAGGAGAAGCATGATAGGAATGATTTTTTATTCTACCCGTTCTGTGATCTGGGTGCCTTGTGCGCTTACTGTATTGTGATTGCATGTTCGTCAAGCTATAGAAAAACTCGTTAGAGTGTTGGCTCTATGCGTGTCTGTTGGTGTCCTCATTTGAGCTCTTCCGTGGCCTCTTTCTAGCACATATTGTGGATGGCTTATATCAATATGAGCTTCCGCATCCGCTGCTGTGATCATCATGGTGTATTATTACGTGGCGGTATTGTTATGTAGTTGCTTCTGCTCCTGGGGTTTGATAGTGCTGGAGCTCACCAACAGGGTCATTTCCTTCAGCTCGTTTTATCTAATAGAGAAAGAACGGAGAACCAGCTTTTAATTTGGTCCTGCTACTGCTATGTCCTGGGTTGATTCGATACGATTGGGAGTCTTCGTTATAGCGATCATTTTATGTTGGTTGTTGTTATATATAGTTCCTATGATATCTGACGTGCTTGTGTAATTGAGGATTATTTGTGTTGTGGTGTGTTTTATATACGTATCTTTATGTTGTTATGTGATGATATTTGTATACTGATGATTTATTTCGCGAGCATGAGAGGGATATGGAATATGGGGTGTATAATATCATTAGTTCTCAGTGAATTATTCTATGTCCGGTGGATTGCTGTTTCTTTAGAGTTTGTTGAAATAAACTGAAAAGTTCTATCTATTCCAACAAAGGGACCACAAAGTTTGGTCAGAAAAGAGAACGGCACTAAAACCATCAACAACTCTATGTTATACTGTCCAATGTACAAATAACCCTAACAATATAGATATACAACTTTTTTTGCATTGCACTTTTCTTTTTTTAAAACACCTTACATACTGTGTGGAGAGTAGCTTCTATACATAGAGGCATACCTATAAATGGCAAGTACGGTGTCTAAAAGTATGTAGTAGGACTGATTTCAATTAGAGTTTTGGCAACGAGGCTGTGGCATGGAAAAGAGTCGTCCGTCCGGCCGTCTTTTTTTTTTCTTCTTCTCTGGGGAATGGGGTTGCATGGCAACAGTGAGGTCAGCGATGTGTGTCTTGTCTGGAGCCGGGCCCTCGGGTGCTCGTCCACATCTCAACAAGTGTTTTATGGAGAGAAAACGGCGGTGTTTTCGTATGGATGAGGTGTCAGGACAACTGCAACTGGTCAGCACTGCTGAAAAACTTTGTCTGGGTTCTTCAGTGTATGCTTGTGCAAAGTGTGTGTGTGCGTGTTTGTTTGAGTGTGTGTGTGTGTGTGCGCGCGTGTTTGAGTGTGCGTGTGTGTGTGCGTGTTTGTTTGAGTGTGCGTGTTTGAGTGTGTGTGTGTGTGCGCGCGTGTTTGAGTGTGCGTGTGTGTGTGTGTGTGTGTGCGTGTATGTTGGTGTCCTGTTTGTTTCTCTGGTGTTCTCACAGAGGCGCTTCACGGAATATCTTCTCCCCCCTTTGGCAACACTTCCCTGTGGAGAGAAAAAAGGAAATGTTTTATTCCCAAATACCAAGAAGCCATTTCAACCAAAGCAAAATGTTACCGTTATAAAACTAAGAATACAAATGCAGCACTAGTTTGTAAGTAAATGTCTTAAAATGACTGAAGCATTTTAAGCAATCGGCAATAATGTCACACGTTTTATTTTGGAATAAAACTCTTCAAACAGGCACATTTGCCTTCAGAACCAAGGTAATGAAAAATCAAAGCAAACAATAGCAATGGGAAGAATTAGAATGAAGAAAAAAATTAATATTTACCACGACATCACTGCACCACACAACACTTGTGCTTATTTGCATTAGGTTTACCTGCCCCCGCTGTTATTCGGAAGGACAGGAAGACAGGCTGGCAAAGGGACAGAGACAAACCGCAGTTAGAGAAAACAAGTTCAACACTTAATGAAGCTCTCTGGGACAGGCCGGAGCTCTTCCCCTCCCCGAGCGCCTGTGACACACGGGTTAAACTCACACAGCAGTGCCGTGCATTTTTGGGCCCGTGTGCTAACTACATTGGACATTTCTTAAACATAGCCGGCTGTGATTCTAGCAGTGGTGTGTGGCTGGGGGGTGAGGGCCGCTGCAGTATCTCTCAGTGTGCTCAGGTCACCTCGCACACACACACTACTGTCTGTGACACACTAAGTATTGATGAAAGACCTGACTTAAGGCGCCTCTCTTTCTGTCTGACACCGTGGAGACTGAACAGTGTGTAACACTCTCTCTGCAGTCCGCTGTAAAAAATCCTCACTTTTTTACATTCTTCCCCAAATAGGAACAGCTTTAAGTCAGGGTCAACTGTTTTAGGACTAATGCAGATATCTTTGGTGTAAAGCTGTCAGTGGGTGAAATTTAGTTGAATACATTTTTAGTCTACACGTTTAATTTTCAAAACTAATTGATTGCAATAATTGTTTATTCTTTAAAGTGTTCTTCCTGTCCTAATACAGCATTTACACTATTGGAAACTAAACCTTTAAAGGGTATAATGGCACTTGAATCTTAAATAATGGGATATTTGTAGATGACGGAGCACAATTTAAAACAAATGTTGCAATAAGATCACTGCAGGTGGAAGTCATTGTAGTCTACCTTATCTACCATATCTTAAAACCTTCAATAACTTTATACACATTCATATCCGCATGCACAGTACGTAATGCAAATAGTTGTTTCCTCACTAGATACTCATGTGTTGAGAGCAGTCCATCCTCTTCCACTCCGGGCTCAGACGCACAGAATCAGTTTACAGTGAACAGTTTCATCACAACACAAACACACACAGTGCAGATGTGGGCAGAGGCCCTGTTGTTACCTTGTGGTCCCCCATGCAGACATTGGGCCCGATGTTATCATAGACTACAGACTTCTCTTCATTTTCAGGCTGCAGACAGACAAAATCACATTGGTTTTGGGATGAAAACAATTTGTTTTGTTGATGATATGAAATGGCCGTTCACACTGTGCAAGAGAGAGTAAATACACACAGGATGCCGAGTCAGCAGCACCGTGTTTGTGTTTACACAGTACAGTCATTACACGCTTGTGTCATGTTTTATGACACATTCATGGGTGAGCAATCAATGTGCCAGCTTCATTAAACACAATTAGTGGGATTATATTGTTGACTTCAAAATAAAAGCCCCCTAGAACCATACAAAACATGACAAACAGTAAACTTCACTCTTTTTCTTGTTGTACATAATTTGGACATTGAAATTAATTGTAAAAATCAGAACAATAACAATTTGTTTATGTGCTAATTATGTCACCAGTCACTTTGTGCAGTTTATTTTCTGTTGGCATACAATTTCTGCTTAATATTCATTCAGATTCAGTCATTCAGTTTGTAGCTTTGTGTAAATATTTGAGGGGACAAATATAAAATGAACACCAGCTGTAAGTGCACAGTAAAGTCTTCATTATGTGTTCTGACACACAGTGTTCAGAGAACTAAAGAAATGTATTGTCTCAATACTGTTACACAATCATTGAAGTAAACTTTTATGATGCTGGATTTATCATTTTTGAATAACTCAGGAAACATCAGGTTTGTTTTGTTGAATTCCTGAAAAGTAAAGTGTTCCTGCAGACTCTCTCACAGGTCTGACTGATGAACACCACCACTGCACTGAACTGAATGCACCTTCAGGAACTGGGCACAGTTTTAACTTGTGCACGGCGCAGTGAAGAGAAATGAAAAGCAGGAGTAATTTACAAAGTGGACATTTGCCTCTGGACCAAATTCTCTCTCACTGTAATCTAAGTGCTGCCTATCTGAGGGAATCATGTTTCAATATCACTTCCTGCACACAAAGAAGCCGTTACCCACTCACACATGAATCTGCAGAACGGAGAATAAATCACACTTGTCTGGTTGAACTAAAGACTTTTTAAACAGCCGCTCCCAGCCCCCCCACGCGCACACACACACACACGCACACACGGTGGGGGCTACCAGTTGTGACTCGGTGAGCTGCACTGGCGCTTCAGAAGAAAGAGACAAAGAGCTTGAGAATGAACCATAAAGCGAAATCCAAATTAACTTGAGACCAATGCTGCAGCGGAGCGGGGTCAGCACACGGTGTGGCTCCACCTCACTCTACCTTCTCCAGCGGGCCACGCACTGGCACCTCTCTATTTGTCTGGCAGCCGTGGCACCCCCCCACCCCCGAGCCGCTGCCTGCCAAAGCCTGAGATACATTCATCAAACACACACTTGATAATTTACAAAGGCAGCATAAAATTGTGGATTTTCGGGCTGCGTAATCTTTAGACAGATAAACAAATTACCCGGGGCCCTCCGGCAGAGAGGGAGCGCTCGCTCGGCTACACATTCATTACCGGCGCTCCCGGAGCTGGTGCCGCGCCGCACAGCCAGCGGGCAACCTTTGGCGTGTTAGGGCTCGGCAAGCAGAAAATAACATGATGGCGAGTTAACCGACCGTGCCATGATAGATGACGCCACACGCCGGGCTGTTTACGGGCCTATGTCTCAACAATCTGTAATGCTCGGAGCCAGAGAGTGTGTGCTCAGTGAATCATCGGCCAATCTGCGAACACACTAACTGTTCCACTCGGTCCCGGCATTACAAGCAATTAGCCGGTGCTTGAGGGGAAGAAACGCAAACAACGACCCAGCAGTGTGTGTGTGTGTGTGTGTGAATCACTTTTTACATAATTCTGACACATTAAGTGGGTGAAACAAACTGGGTGCTCTCCTTTTAAAGTGCTTCACCCTTTCTGTTTTGCACAACTTGCTGTAATACAGTAATACAGCAATCAGAGGTATTGTTCCAGCAGGCTTCAGTCAGTAAAGAAGAAAGATCAGGAAGGAATTTCTCATTTGTGGCAGACAAAAGAAAGCCAAACTTCCTGAGCAGCCCCCTGCTGTGGACTGTACCTGTACAATAGACTGCTGCATCTCTTTCATACACACATTAACAGATGAAAGCCTGCATGCTCCAGCACTGAAGAAACCTCTAAAGCTCAACTCATTCCCAGTGCTTGGGAATCTACAGTGCTTTTCCACTCTTACTGGAGTGTCTTCCCGGCCATGGCAGCTATCCAATCAGGAGTTGTTGTCTTATGGAAGACAAAAAATCTGGGAAAACTTGGCACAGTGGATCTTTACGTAATCCAGCAAACAAACTAGGAGAGGAGAGGATAGAGGCGGCAGATTGGCTGGAGTTTACAGTGCGGGGATGGATTAGAGGCTGTGCGGGGAGCCTGTAGGTTTCGACAGATCTGTGGCTTTATGAAGAAGATGGGGCCCGCTGGGGTGAAGTGCTGGGATATATATACTGTCTGGGTGGACCCATGGCTTAATGCTCCAAATTAATATTCACAGACACCTCATCCTTCCCATCTGTGAAGTGACAGAGGGCGGGGAGGGTAATGTGGATCAAGGACGATAGAGTTGTAGAAATAAAGGGTGAGACATTTATAAAGCGCCTGTTATTATAGTTTAGGCAGGAGTGGTGACATTTTGGTCAGAATACAGAGGAATTTGACTTTTAAAAGCAATCAAAAGCCACTGAAATGGATCATAAGTGACAGGTTTAGGCTCACCTTTAAGACCAGGTCTCTGGCAGAAGCAGAGAGGAGGATTCGGTCACACCAGGCGGGGCATCTGGTGTTCATGTACTGCTTCCCCTGACTGCTGTCCTCACTGTACGGATAGCTGAAGAGAAAGGCAAGACACAATCAGAAAATATAAAAATAAAGACTCACAAACAAACATTTATAGATATTTATACATGTTTAAGGACTATCTGAGTAATAATGAACTTGATTTTCTAGTAAAGTGCAGCCCAAAGAACAAGACAATAGAGGAAAGGCAATAAGAAAAGCAATAAATATGATTTGTATGAATCAACAGGGCTCCAGAGAAGTAATAAATATGAGACGTCACGTCATCTGCCTTATCTCAGAGACAGAGATCAAAATGTTTCTCGGAGAAAACAGGAGGTCCATAAGCATGACCAATCATCCAAGTAATCTCCTGAATCAACACACATGGATGGCTCAATCAAAGCGATCTATTTGCCAACTGTACAGGTTGTGAGTGTGCGTTTGTGAGCAAGAGAGAGAGAGGAGGGGGTAAAAAAGAAAGGATGAGAGTGATTTAGTCAGAGCGGGCCAGAGGGAGATTCAGTTGCCCATATGTATAGCTACATCCCTACAGGGTCATCAAAAACAGATTAGGTGCCGCAGCAAATGGCCAAGAGAGATTGTATCTTGGAACAGCAGGGAACAATCGCATGATTTAAGCGGCGGCAGGACTGGAGTCGGGCGGAGAGCCATCGAGCTGATACAGATTTACATTGTTGAGAATTCAATTTGCCCCTTCCGCTCATCAAAGTGCTTCAGATTTACACGCCACCAATCCAATTTGTTTGTCGGTGCTCATCAGGATGTAAGACCGGGCTTACATACTGTAATACCAATCCAATTTGCTCCTTCAGTGCCACACGTGCTAACCGTAGCATAACACAAAGTGGCTCTTCTCTGAGCATGGCGATATCCTAATGATAAAATAAACACATACATCTGGACCTCCATTCATCACACTTGCCGAGCTCTGATTGCTTAATTGGACTTTGTGCTAAGGCAGAATACATTTAATAAGCATTTGGTTGCTCTGTATGTATATGTGTGCATTGGAATCACTATGTGGCTGCTACTGCTGCAGCAAGTGCTAGTTCTAAATACTACTACTTCCCAATGTGCTCACAGCTGTCGCACATCATTTAAACCAGAATGCACCTCTTCTGATGAGACCTGGACTAATGCAGAGGGTGCAGTCTATCTTCAGATCTCACTCTAGTGGCAAAAAACAACATTGCTTCCAGATTTGAATGTTTCCTCTAAGGATAATAAACCATATTGCGATAAATATCTGACAGATAAATGTATCGTGGTGAATTTCCAATATCGTGATAATCAGGAATCAGGATAATAAGCTGTCTAGCTGGCCGGCACACAGTCTTATATTCATTTCCTGATATATATATATATATATATATAATAGTTTAGATTCCAAAATAAAGAACAGGGGGATAAGGTGCCTGTATGTGATGTAATAAATATGTGTTTCTTAACTAAACGTAGGTCAAGTGATTCCAATATGTTTTAGTGCCATTTTAAACGTATGAAGTATATTTTTATGATTATCGTGATAACATTGTGTATCACATTCATATTGTCCCAGGCCTAATTTCCTCTGAACACAAATGATGTGTTATTAAATGCCTTCTCAGCTGCCATCTTATCCACCGTCTGTCCTATTCCTTATTGTTAGTTTTACATATCTACTATGAACTGCTGCTGTGATGATCCTTTTTGGTTAACTCCGGCTCATTAACAGTTGCTTTTTGTTGAACAATGACCACTGCCCCGTTGAATAAACTGAAACTGGAAAAAAACTGGTTATAAGAGTAGTTTTATTAGTGATTAATTATTAAAATGTGAACCTGTGTGTTTTTTATCTGTCCATGATTACTGCTGTTAAAACATAAAGCTATAGATTGCCATACACACTTCCTTCACAAAGTGTGGAGTATAAATTCAGAATGAGATGAGGATGAGATTAATCCTCCCCCACATACATTCACAGAATACTGTATGTGTTGATACCAGCACTCTGCGATACAGTAACCATTTTTGTAAATCGCGATGTCTCACACACACACACACACACACACACTCTGACACACACTCTGACACACACAGAGCCCCCCCACCAGGTGAACAAACAGACCTGTAGAAAGCTACTTAAAGAAGTTCCCTGCCTCCAATTAGCATTAATAGCACTTAAACCGTGGGGAAATGCATGGGGGTTTTGGTATGCTAATCAAAGGGCTAAAGGAGTGATCCTGGGATAAAAGAGAGCATGAAGAATAGGATGAGTGAAACAGAGATAGACAGAGAGGCAGAAGAGAGGGGATAAAGACGGATCAGACAGAAAAAGAGAAAGTGAGGGTGGAAAAGAGCAAAGTCTTCAAAGGGCTGCTGGAGCTGCTCCACTTCAGGGTGGCCTGAATACTCCTGCTTCCTGAGGGACGGACCCTGGCCTTAAACAGCCTGTGAACAATCCTCCTATCAGGGACTCTGTTATAGCTTTATTGACTAACAAGCCTGGGGTCATTTTGGTGTTAAAGAGATTGAGAGAAAATCTACCTCCCCCCCCCACCTCCTTCAAACAATGAACTCCCCGCCTGATAGCGAACTTCCTCGAGCACTTCAACAACAAAACTTTGCTATCGTTCAGTCATTTTTGATGACAGCCAGTCATTGTTAAAGCTGATTAAAAATACTCAACAATGGCCATTAAAGGGCCATTCTGCGTCCCTGTGTGCAGGTATATTCTGTTTTACCGCACCCTCCGTTGGCTCCAATGAAGATAACAAGTCTTAATGCAACAGCAAACAGTCGAATGGCGCGCTGGGGCCAACGTGATTAATGTGTCCGATTAGCGAGCTCACAAACTTATCGGGGAAGGTAAACGGTCCGAGAGGGCGTGTGGGCTGGAGGCCGTCAGCTCATATCAGACCCTTATGGCCCGCAGCAAGACTAATTACACTAATTAATGGGTCAAGCTGATAACTCCAACAATTGTGTATCTGTAGGAGGGGGAGCTGCACTTCAAGGTATCCACACACACACACACACACACACACATATATATATAGATACACATACACTGCTTTACCAACTCTACAGCTAATATAGTAGACTACCAATGATAAGTGATTAAGTAATTAAGTCATTTGTCAAATCCAATCTCTTGAAACACTGTTGTACAGAGTATAAAGCTGTGTCCCAAATCCACACTACTCACTAATTCTGAGCAGGTTTTGATTACATAATATGTTCACATTGTAAAAGTGACAAAATCAGATGTAATAAAAATAGTCAGTATGTGGACTAAAACTTTTTTTGTGTGTGCTGTTGATGTACACTATTCTGCCACAATGCAATGCACAATGAATATGGAAAAGCTGCTCTCATCTGGAAAGAAATCACCTCAGAAAACTGCTGCTTTGCTCTTTGTTAAGTTTGTGCTAAAGTCACAAAAACCAGCATACTACACAGATATATAGCATATAGTGTATATAATGTAGAGTTAATACACAGCATAAGATTGGGACACAGCAACTGTCTCTATATTCAACCATCCTGCAGGTGCACAGACCTTGAGAAAGTACACATAATAAGAGTATAAAAATGATACTCTTATTGTATTTACAATACATATCAAGCTTATATATTATGAGAGTGCTCAAGTCAAAAGGTGACGAGAGAAAAGTCTGAGACATCAGACGTCTGATGACTAAAATATTTGTCTTGCCAGGTGTCTTTGTCTTTGGTCATTATAGGTTTTTTTTTTTTTTACAGCAATCACCTCCTGTGTAAAGTTGACACAAGGATACTGTTTTCCTGCTCGCTCCTCCACTCCTTTGTGTTGCTGACCACATCTCAGATGATACATGTGTGTATGGTCGCACATTGAGACCCTCTAGCACCCATTGAGAGCTCATTCATTCATGCTTGGTTTAGGGTTTAATGTTTGACTTGGCTGCTGACACATTACTCTCATGTGCTCCACCGGTGTCAGCTTGTTTGTTTTGCAACAGTAAAAACTGGTGATGTGAGCACAGGCCCTACCTATAGTGTGTACCTCGGCCTCACCCAGCAGAGGGAGAGGCTGTCGGGAAATACATTACTGTGCTCTCCAAGATACTGCACACGCTTTAAATAAAAAGAATCAAACAACAAAAAGCTGTGTATGAAATGGAAGTTACGATTTTGTTCGTAGTTCAGAACACCAACCTGCATCACGAGCACCGGACACGCAGTCCTGGCATGGATTGCTTCAGGCCAGACATCTTTGTCCCACATTCTCTTATCTCCCCATGAAAAGCTATTAACTTGTTCTACATAATGACGAATAAGTGACAGGCCAAACAGTGGGCTATTTGGGTGCTCGGAATTTAATGAGGGCAATATAAACTTGGGAATATAGGTAGGGCAGGAAGCCAAAGATAAGAGTCATAGTATCAGTGACATGAGGTCAAGGGTGGCAAGGAGCATCATGGGATGTTGGAGTGGCCATTGCCAGGCTGGGATTGGCCAAAAAGCCAGAAACTGTGGGTTTTGAACGACTTGCAGCCTCTACGGCTATGTTTGTTTGCCGTTGTCAGGGGAGGCCTGGCAAAACACAACACACATACACACACATGCACGCACACACACGCACACACGCACCACACACACACACACACACACACACACACACACACACACACACGGATTCAAAAAGATCAGCCAAATGCTATCAATAAAGCTGAATGTTTGCCTCAGTTTGTAGAGCTGGGAGGCTCGCAGGCACAACATTGGCATAGTGCAGTACAAACAGTGAAATGCCATCAGTAGCTCATGGCTCACAGCCTGCTGGGGTTCAGCTATGACATGTTCTGCCTTTAGCTGCTCTAAATGAAGACAAGACGACACAGATGGCATCTATTTAATCCTCTCCGTGTAAGATTGTTTTGAACAAAGCCTCCCTCTCACTGGCATCATCTCAGACAAGAGGCAATGACACAAGACAGTGGACAATCTTCAGCTATTATCACCACAATGGCCCCTCATCATTTTCACAGGCTCTCTAGTCGTTAGAATGATGGATGTGCTGATGGTTGTAAAACAATGTTTCTGTTCAGTAGATTATCCTGTAACGCTGAATCCTGTGGCCACGCTCAGCCAACACGAGCCACACACTTACAGTGTCTCGGACGCAGTGCTTTAACCCAACATTGTCCTTTAAGTACATCTGTGATGCTCCTTAAATGGAGTCACGCGCCTCCACTCCAGTGCAGCATGGCTGTTCACGGAGCAGAGAACAAGAAGCCTTGTTCATGTAGGATGCAAACAGCGGAGCTATAGGACTAATGTATTCACAGCCAAATACACAAATACACATGCAGAGAGGGTGACATCATTCCAACAGGCCTTCAGAGACCAGGGGTGTTGTGTGAAGAGTGTTGTTCACAGAACAAAGACAGTTACTGTACACAGGAGAGTCGACTGTGGGAGCACTTCCTATGAGCTCAAAAGTCTCGAGGAATTCTCCACTACTCTGACAATTCTCTCGTATGGACTTATTAACAGTTATTGAGGAACTGGCAGGGAGCCATTTGTGTCACTTCACCAAAATTTTCTCTCATCTGAAGGGCAAAGTCATTCCGTCTGGCATCGGCTTTCAAACCTCCCCCTTCCTCTTTCACAAACCTGTGAATGTTGTAGCTTTCCCCAGCAGCACTTTCTGGCTCGTCCTCGCAGACATGCAGCTTTGGAAAAGGTACGCTAACGTGCCAAGGTTGGTCCCAGGGTGCTTCCCAAACAGTGAAGACACGACTGTTTACCAGTTTCTGCCTCCTCATTGGCCTCACCTCCTGACCCCGGGGCCACGCTCTACTTTTTTCCATGTCTAGACTTGACAAACACAGATCTATGGGACTGGAGCCATGCTGTTCTCTCTAGCACCTTCCCATCGTTCTCATATGTGTTTGACGAGAGGTTTGGCTAAGCATTGTGATAATTGGAAAAAATACATGCCAGAGAAATATGTACATTTGCACTGTTAGTGAATTTCCCCAGCTGTGCATTTTTAGGTTGTTGGCAGTCAACTGCTCTTTTCCAGCTCAAATGATACTGCATCCATGTAACCACTAGAGTCTGCAATGAATCTGTTTTTGTTGCAGGTATACTGATGTGGCTAGTTCCTTTCAGTCGTGCTCGCAGCATTTTTCTAGGGATGGCAATGTTGGTCGGTCCACCATTTTGGTCCAGACTGAAATATCTCAGCAACTATTGTATGGACTGTCATGAAATTTCATTCATGTCCCCATAAGATGAAGTGCCTTGCTCAAACAGGCTGAAACAATAGCTGATGAAGGATGGGAGATGCACATTTATACATCTGTGAACATGTATGAAGAGCAACCTGTTGTGTTTCTAGTAACACTAGCTGTACCTCACTACTATCAGGATGTCATATACTGTACATATCTGTACCGTGGCTCCTCTCTACCACTTTCTAGACAGAACCATGGGACCATCTTTTCTTCTACCGACATTGCACAACTTCCACAACATCTCTGCTGCTCTGAAATCACTCAAGACTTGTCCACTGATGGAGTTGTACCGCTGCTGTGATGTCACTCAAAATCTCCCTCAAAGGCTATTCCCAGTAACCATGTTACAGGCAGAATACATTCTTCCACTGCTCCCTCATTGTCCACTGCATTTCCTCCTGAAGCTGGGGTCCCGATTCAATTTTTGCATCGATCTTGTGCAAAAAAAGGACAAAGAAATCAGATCAGAGGAGTACTAAAAGCTTTCCTCTAAATCAATCAAAATATATGAATAAGTTACTGGTGCCTTAGTATGTTTTAGGGGATATTACTGTAGTTATGCCACTCCTAATATGAAATCAAAAGTACCATAATGTATAGTAAAACTTACAATTATTTTCAGTCAAATGGCCATGCTGCAGCCAATGCAGAGAAAATGACCCAATGGGTTGTTGCAGTCTCAGGAGGAACTGTGTCTAAATAACTGATTGGTTTCTGATTAAAAGACTCATCTATTCTCTCCCATGAACTGGTTGAGAGAACTAGTAACCATACATGGGCTCCTGTGTATGAATGTGCATGAGTCGTCCTGCAGCAGCCGACTGGCTCCAGGTCCAACTGTGACAAGGTCCGGGCAAATTCCTCACCCCGGTGCCCAAGCACTTAGACTTGTTATGGCCAACTTTGGCGAACGACTTTTTGAAAGTAAAGAGATATGCATTTTATAGCTTGCAGCCGCTGCAGCGCTACAGGGGGAAATATTCACGTGCGTATGTGTGGGGACAGAGACGTATGCCTGCCAAAACTGGATGGATGTCCATTTCAAAGAGGGAAAGGGAGCTGCTGGCTGGAGATGCTTCAGCTGTGGTTATACAATTTTCTGCCTTGTGGCTATTGCTAGGTATGTACATCAGTCACTTTGTGTTATCCAATCCTTAGTTCATCCTTGACAGTACGTCTCATTTTCTGACAAGTTCTTACCCGCCATGGAACAACAGACAGAATTAACTTGCAGATTAAATGCTTGTGACCAGTATTGATTTATAGATTTGAACAAAAGTGAGCCGTGTGCGTGCATGAGTGTGTGTGTGTCAGCGAGGGTGTGTTCTGATGGCCTGCATTAAAAAGAGTAATAACCTCACAGATGGTGAGGGGCTGGTCCGGAGCAGGCTATGTGATGGAGAACAATCGCTGAGGGTTGATTGCTCAAGGAGCACAAGGCAGACCTGACAGGGGGAGGGGTGCCAGGGTGTGTGTGTGTGTGTGTGTGTGTGTGTGTATGTGTGAAGTGGGAGGAGGGGGTTGTTTAAGTTTAACTAGGCCACTGCTACCCATTACAAGGCTGACAATGATGTGGTTTGTCGCACGCACAGAGTAGATCAAATCAAATTTCATATGCTGCTCCCGGGTTTCATCTATTTGATTCATCATCACCTCAAGTATGTAGAAATCATTTGTATTCTTCCACAGCAGCACATTCATTCCTCCCTGTGGAGAGATGATTCAGTATTATATGGATAGGTGCAAAAGTCAGCCAGTGTAAAAGGACAATAAATCCACCTGTCACTTATGCAAAGTGATGTAAATGGGGTCCCTGATTAAGACACAGAGTCATTTAAAAAACAGGGACTGGCAGAACCTTGACACATGCACTCATACACACACAGCCAGTCCTGAGCTCTCACACTACACATGTATGCACACACACACACACACACTCATACTCATCTCATACACACGCCTTAAAGCCACTCACACATACACACACGCTTTGATAGCTCTATGTATCTCAAGCCCTCTCACTCTCACACACACGCACACACATACACACACTAAAATCCCCCGCCGCCCTGCGCCTGCCACTAGAGCAGTTTATCAAGTAATTATTGTTTGATTACAGCGTTTCATTATCTGCACTGATTGAGTCACAACCGACGGCAAAGGTCAAGCGCCATTAACGCGCTGCTCCCGAAACATATTTCCACGCCGGCCGCGTGTTTGCCCTCCCTCTCCTCTGAAAGGGCTAATTGCAAATGCATTTGTTTGAGGAAGAGGAGAGGAGACCACCCGCTCCAGTCTCCCCCAAGTCCCACTGAGACGGAATATCAATGCTGCCCATAGCGCTCGCACAGCAACACACACACACACACACACACACACATATGAAAAAACATCGCCATGGGAGCAGTTTGGGGCCATATCCAATCATAGTTAACGACTGATACCCATCAAACACAGATCCAACAGCTTTCATAAAACCATTCTGGACAATAAGAGGGTGATTGACTCCTTCTGATTTTACATATTAATAATGAGTCCTTATAGCCAAGATCTGGTCAGCAAAGTCACTGCATTTACCAACATTTAATAGTACCCTGTGGGTGAAAACTTAGGCTTTCATTTCTTAATTTCTGAGGGATTAAGTCTTCCTTTATAATTTGAAAACGGTCTTAGGCTAAATAAACCCTTTCAAACCCGTATGTCTTTTCATGTCTGCATAAAACTGCATGGTAATCCATTCAACAGTTGTTTAAGCTCTTGACCGAAAAAAAAAACAACCCATGGTGGCGCTACAGGAAAAGTCAAGGGAACAGTTAGTGACCATGAAATGCCAGTAAATCCAACAGTAGTTCACACTATCACACCTTGAGCCATGCTGTTAAATAGAAACTCAGGACCTGATACATTGCAGAAACATCAGTGGCAGTGTTGTGCTGGAAGACAGTGTCAGTAGTGTGGGTGCACAGGTGGCTCCATACCTGGGTGGGAACGAGATCTCCAGTTCATGCAGCCGATCCTTGAACACCGACAGCTCTTTGTCATACTCTAAAAGCTGAGGAGAGAAGAAAAAAGTATAGGAATGAAGAGAAGTTTCAATTATTACTATTTTTCAACATTTTGGATCAAGGGAAAGTCAACTGTGTCAGTGCACCTCTCTAAGAGTCAGTTAGCACAAACGCTGCAGGCCTCTGAGCAGTTCTCGGTCCTGCTGAACAGCTATCGTGATTATGAAATGGTCCGAGCGGTGTGGTTTTAGGCTTTAGATTTTCCTTCTGACAAATAAGTAGATTTTTCCCAACAGACACGTGCAATTGAAGGCCAATTTGAAGCCTCTTCGACAGTTTAATTCCATGTTTAATATTAGCCGAACCTAGAAGTCAGTACTCGTCTATCATCAGGCCTCAGTCTCAGTGAGTGGTGGATAGGAATACGCCAAATGAGAGTTTAGGAGAGTACAGCAGGATACATCTTTGGCTCCATTTACTTATTTCCATCTTCCTCACGCTGGCAGAAATTGACAGCAGTTGACCAGTTGTGTGTGTGTGCGTTACTAGCCCTGTCCTACTGGGGGTCTATCTTTCCACACTGACAGTGCATCCACACACTCTTCATCAATCATGTCTCCTCACCCAGCTGTACTCACTCACTAGAGTGTACACACACACGTCCCCCAATTTCCCCCCTTTCACAAAACCCATAAATCATTAGTGAAAAGTGCAATTAGCGGCTTCTTGTACACATTAATTATCTGGGAGATGAACAGGTAGCTTGGGCACCTGCATGACTGCCTCCCTGAGAGACTGACAGCGACGTTTCCCAGCAACCCCCCTGAAGGACCTCGCAGCAGCCCCACCCTTTCCTTTCAGACAGGAAGACATGGAGATGAAGCCGGGACATGTTTGTTTAGTGGTAAATTGGGCTATTGTACATGTTTCAAACACCAGGCTACAATTATGGCCTGATGAAGACCTCATCGTAGACACTGTGAGTCTGACAGCCGTTGTATAGGCAGCTTGATGTTAATGACATTACATTGGTGTATTACATGCAGCAATATGTTGATGGCTACATGATGAAATATCAGCGGAGATGACGCGGTGCACATGGGTAATATTTGGAAGGACGTCCTCACAAAGTGGAGACATGGGAGGAGGGATGTGGATGTCATATGAATATTATTATATCAGCGGAAGGTAACTACAGTCTTCCAGCTACACTGACATATTTATGTTGTCCATGTCTGACTGTGTATGCGTTGTTTGTCTTCTCAGCACTGTTGAGCAAACATGTATAAATAAGCCAAAGTCCAGAATGTGCCTTCGCAATGACGCTCTGTGTGTTTGTGTGTATGTGTGATTATGTGTCAGTGGTGTAGAACAGTGGCCATTACTTCCAGGCAGAGGGGCCTCCCAGACGGAGTCTCAGTGGTTCAGGAGGGCAGATGTGTCGCATTCATCAAACTCACAGTGCCGGGGTCACAGGAGAGACTCACACACTGTGGATGAGGGATGGCTGAGCAGGGGATGCAACCCCACGCTCCACTGTACACCCCGTTTCACAATCCACCCACTGATGCCTTCCTCTAGTGAGTGTGTGTGTGTTACAGGCCGACCGATACTCAAGTATTGACGCCGATAGCAATATCTGTAATCTGATAATTGTGAAATTTGAAACTTTCAGATGATGGAGTGTTTCCTAAAACCAAGCCCTCTCTTTAGTTATAGTTGCTGCAGCTTTCCATTCTCGCACCATGCAGTTTACAATGATAACAGTGGCATTAACCTCCTGAAAATCTTCATAATTTTTGAAACAATGAATTCCTGATTCCTGATGATAGACAAAAGCAGGCTTCTCAATTCCTACAATCGTTTCACAAACATATTTTATTGTTTATCTGTAATATGAGATTGTGTGTGACCAGGCGATCCACCATCGTTTCCTGCTACAGACAAACTGCACAGCCAATGAGAGCAGCAGTACGTCCCCTCTGCGGGCTCCAACAAACTGTCATGGTGACGACCATAACGCCAAACTCGAGGCTTCAAAACGGTTCTCCACAAACCGATGGGTGACGTCACAACAGGTTCACACAAACTATTACATTCTTTACACTTCTGCTCTTGTGTGTTTTAGTTTGGCCGTAATATACACAGATACTGATATATTTGCAGTAAGCTAATCTCATAAGATGGTGGGAAGTCAAAGTCTGTGTAACAGTAATTATACATATATGCTTAAGCTGGTATGGTGGCGACTACTCAAATCAATAATTGACAAATGTCTATAGGTACACATGTGCATCATGTTGACAGGTGTGATT